TGTTAGTGGCATCGACACGTGTGTGCCAGTTTTTAGTAAAATCGGGTACTTTTGAAACTTTGGCAATATTCTCTATTATTTTTCGATCAGGCAGCCCGTGTTTTTCTCCATTTGGAGCACAAAGACTTTTAGCTATTGTCTTTGCTGTATCAAATGGAGGCAGCTGTGAATTGAATGTAGTTGCTGTTATCCCCTCAGATCCATTGACACGGAGACTAGCGAGTGCTATACTAAAAGTGAAGTTAGCCTCACCAAACAGCACAATAGGACTAGGCTCCACACCATCACCTCCCAGTATACGATTCCTGAAACGTTGAGCTTCTAGAGGCTCCAGTACACAACCTATTAGTTTATTTATGAAACCCTGGTAACCTTTATGACCACAAGGTTTAAGTGCAGCTGCCATCACGTAAAGGTATGAACTGGACAAAGAAATTTGAAGATTCACTAAAGGGAGAGAGTCACTGTAGACTAGACTGGATATAATGCTGGAGTGATACTGCACACATATTATATACTAAAGGAGGCAGCTGTTAGTTGGAGTATAGCTGCTATAGGATTGAGGGTCAGAGAGACTTTGACTGTTTGTATAAATGTAGACTTGGTGGTGGTAGCTGCTGATTGTTTGCTAAGTGTTTATATGTGTTGTGTTTACCAACTATGAAATTGGTTCTGTCTGGAAAAAGTATCTACTGTAATAACAATAAAAAGTAGCACCATCACCCATTACAATACATACCACCATATGCATGCACAAGTGTATCCATGTGATTGGAATGTGACTGTAATTAGAGACGTGTGTGTATATTCTTTTTAGCGGTAATTGATGAGTGGGCGGTTCACATGCAATATAGTACCAATGATAGTACTTGCATATGATTAAAGGCATTACGAGGTGGTTGTGGCATGTTAATTCTTGACATTATTTTCCCTCATCATAGTATATTCTCAAGTATAGTACTATTCTTGTGTCCTCCTTTGTCCTTTCACAGTCTTTGTGTCTCTCATTACATCTTTCCTGATCATAACAAAATTTTAATTTTAACTGTGGCTTTAATAATACTGTCTAAACTTAGTATCCTGCTGGCTTGTTGGTATGTACATGTACATGTATTTGTGCTTAATGTAGCCTCTTTATTAAAGATACCATTGGGTCCATTTCAAAGGTTCTTTTGTATAGACTTGTACCATTACAAAATGTCCTCATTATAAATGTGTCCTTATCTCAGAGGTTGCACTCTATGTTAAAAGTTTAATGTACAAATTTTGCTAAGAACAACTTCATCTTTTAAAATGATATGGTCATGAATGCTACCATAGTTATAGCATTGGTTGGGAGGAGGTTGTAATCCACTTTGTTTTCCTCTTTCTGCCTCCACTTCCTCTTGATATATTCATTTGTGACGTAAACATTTTATTGATAATTATTTTTTCTCATTGGCAGGTGTTTTTGTTGCCACAGTGATGATCAAGGATCGTGCCAAGAGAAAGGCAAAGGCGAAAACCAAATGACACCAGTTATTAATAGTTATTAATGATTATTAATAGTTATTAACTGTTCATATTCAATAATTTATACATGCTCTTCTGCTTTTGAACTAAATTGATTAAAAAAATAATTACACACAACAAACGACAATAAAATGAATAAAAAATAAAATAAAATAATTTATTATTTATTTTGATCTAAGTCGGTCTATGGAGCATAAAACAGCTTCCTTAATATCGGAATGAACTGGTATTTTATTCTTGTTTGCCAAACTGGTTAGGTAGGCCCTGGCACGATTGTAATCCTTGACTGCTCTTGGAGTTAATATCTGTGTAGTGAGGGCAGGCATTAAAAAGAGTTAAAAATACATGTATAATTAATAAATATTATTTTTATGATTGACTTACTTTTTTATCAACATGGTCATTGCTCATTTCTTCAATACATAATACTATTTTATTCTTATTCTCACCAACACTATAGGCAGCCTACAAGTGAATGAGTAAATCATGTTCATTCATTAAGCATCCTCCACTTAATTTCCTCCATTCTCTAGTCTACTACACGTACATGTAGTTCAAATACATTTCCTTCTCTCTCTCTCTCCCTCCCTCTCTCCTCTCCTCTCCTCTCCCTCCCTC